ATATAAAGCTATATTTGGCTTTTCATCCTCAAATTGATGAACAAATGGAATGAGTGAATCAAGTTCTGAAGCAATATTTGAGGTATACCATCAACTATCATTAAAATGATTGGACATTTTTTTTGCCATTGGCAAAATTTGTATATAATAATTTGGTACATTTTTCTACTTGACAAATACCTTTCTTTATCAATTATGGTTATCATCTACGACTTAATACTTTTAACTTTTCAAAAAATGATAATCCTACAGCAGAAGATTTAGCAAATCATTTGTCAAAGCTAAATGCAATAATGAAGATATAATTAAAAGAAGCTGAAGAATAACAAAAGACCAACGTGGATGCCTATCTCAAGGAGCAGCTACAATTCAACATAGGTAATAAGGTATGGTTATTTCATCACAATATCAAGACTACTTATCCTTATGATAAGTTGGACTATTGTAGGCTGGAACTTTTTTCTATTTGTGAACAAATCAATTTAGTTGCTTATTGATTACAACTACTGGAGTCTATAAAGATCCACGATATATTTCATGTGTCCCTTCTTGAGCCATATAAAACAATGAATATCTCTGAAAGAAAACAAATGCCATTTCTTCCTATAGAAGTCAACAATAATTAAAAATTTGAAGTGGAAAAAATCTTAGATTCAAGATGACGTTGAAATAGGTTGGAATATCTTGTTCATTGGCATAGATATGATATTATTGAACACACATGGAAGTAAGGAAAGAATCTTGCAAATGCAACAAAGAAAGTTGAGGCTTTTTATTGACAACATTCATCCAAACCAAGATGAAGAATTACAAAGATTCATGAAAGATGATGATCGCTCTTCATGGAATTCGTCCCTAAAAGAAAAATAATATCACAAACATATACATTTACTTCAATAGTTACTTATATGTTTAGATAGAAATAAGTTAATATAGACTAATTTCATAAAATCTTTTAGAAAAGCTTCTTAGAAGCTTTATAGATGTGGTTTTGACTTTAGATGTATTTTTAAGTTAGAAACTTGACCAATAATCTAACCACATGGTAGTAGCTTCTGAAACAAGTTAACTCCATATAGTAGCTTATAGAACAAGCTAACTATGTGGTATATATATAGATAATTTGCCTTGCAAGTTAAGACATATGATTAGCAAAATCAATATGTTTTAGAGATCTTATAGGACATTGCCATTACCAAGCTTACCTTAAATCAATCAAAGCTATAAAAAGGCTAGATGATTCTACTACTTATACTCTAAGTATAAGCTTTTATTGCCATTTAATAGCACAATTCAAATTAACTCTCAATAGGTAGACTTTGAGTGTCATACTTATTATTAGATAGGAAAAATATTTTTTTATTTTTTCTTAGAATTCATGCATCAATAATCATTTATCTAGTATCTTTATAATTGTATAATATTATTTATATTTCAAGCTAAATATATTGGTTATTTAAAAAATAAAATTATAATAGTAATGAAAATCATGTTGATTATCTTTAGTATAAATAAATGCTTAAGCTTTACATTATTGCAAAATAAATTGTGCAACCTTACATCTTTGATTACATTTGATATAAGAACATATTCAAGCTTAATATCATTATTAAAGGAATTAGGCAACTTCTTAGCTCTTACTACCTTTGATATAAGTAGATATTCAAGTTTAACATTATTATCAAATGAATTATGCAATCTTACATCTTTAATATTAGCGGGTGCTCAACCTTAGTATTCTTGTTAAATAAATTGGACAATTTTACATCTTTGACTATCTTTTGAATAAATAGGTGTTCAATTTTTATATTATCATCAAATATATTAAGCAACCTCACATCTCTTATTATTTTTAAAATAAGTAAATAATCAAGCTTGACATTATTGCAAAATAAATTGTGCAACCTAACATCTTTGACTACATTTGGCACAAAGGAATATTATAGTTTAATATCATTACCAAATAAATTGAGCAATCTTTCATCTCTGACTACCTTTGATATAAGTACATGCTCAAGCTTGATATAGTGAGTAAATGAATTGGACAACCTTACATCTTTGACTATATTTGATATAAGAAGGTACTTAAGTTTGATATCATTCACAAAAAGAATGGTCAATGTATTTTTTTAAAAGATATATTTTAAAATAGATTATTTATTTACAAGTTAATAAGAAATTTAGAATCAAATCTTAATAAGATATGTATAAAATACTATATTATATAGATTGTATGAATATGCTTAACTTTTTTGACATTATTGTTTTTCAATTTTGACTTAACATATTGTTAATCCAATCAATGCATCTTAATTGGTAAAATTATTATAAAAAAAAAAAAAAAAAAAAAAAAAAAAAAAAAAAAACTTTTAATATTTTTTAGATATAAAAATATTTAAATTATAAATTTTATTTGATGATTTTAATGTTTATTGGAATTTAAAAGATTCTATAAGTTTAAAAAAAATTGTGAAGAAAAAAATCATGAAATTAAATTCTTAATAAGTCTTAGATGTAATTATTATAGATTGTTTAGTATGTTTTTATTTAACATTGATAATTTATATTTAGTAATTAAAAGCAAGGTTTAGAATTTGACAATTTATGATCACATGAGTATCTTTGATTTTTTTTATTTGCTTATTCATCAATTTTGACTTGATCTACTTCCATCTCCTCTATTTTTACTATCTACAATTCTAATGGTATAAATAACTTGTTCTATAAGTTCTTAGCAAGTAAGATATAGCAACTTTGGCTTAAGCTTTAGGCTTTTGACTTTTAGTATAAAAGGATTTTTGAGAGTTTTGAAAATACCATTGGATCTATTTATGGCTTCTCAATTTATAGCTTCTCTATTTAAAATGTGCCTTTCACTTATTCTAAAAGTGTATAGATATAGAAATATTAAGGATTTGACTATCTTAAATTTTGAGATAATTTTGTAAATGCATTAGATTTTGTAAGTTTTCATTTAATCTACTCTCATATTTTAAGTATCTATAAATCTAATAATAGACTTAGATTTAGAATTTAGAATTTAGAATTTAAAAATTTAGGATTTATGATTTAGGATTATATTGGTGCGTCAAATTTTTTGATCTTCTTACTTTTAGATTCTAACTTGACTTATCTTCTATTTTTGCTATCTATGATTTTAATAGTATAAATAATTTTTTCTACAAGTTCTTAATTTGCTAGATAAAACAAGTTTGACTTAGGCTTTAAGATATTGATTTTATTATTAAAAAAAATTTAGATAATTTTTAAAATAATATTTGTTCTATTTGAAGGTTGTCTATTCTAAATATGTCCATAAAATGTCTTTAAAATATATAGATTTGTAGATATTGAGAATTTGGCCATTTTTAATTTTAAGTTGATTTTGCAAATGATTAAGCTTTTGTAAGTTTTAATTTGACCTACCTCCTTATTTTGGAGATCTACAAAGCTAGTAGTGGATTTAGAATGTTTTTAAAGTTTTTTAATTTTCAAATATAAGACCTTTGACTTGACACTTTTTTTGTTCACTTTATTTTTGTTTTATCTTTTTGAAATTTTGAATTGATCTACTTTTCAATTTTTTATGCTTCTAATCCTAATGATATATTTAAAATCTTTAGCAAGTCTATAAGTTAGGAGGTATAAGATTTTTTTAATTAATTTTTTTTTCATATGATTTATAAATTAAAAAAATTAAAAATATATATAAATAATTATATATAGACTTGTTTATATAATGACAATGAAATAGATAGCTATATAAATATATACTTATTTGTTAGTTGTAAAATATTATATTTAGACTAATTTTTAAATATATTATACATATAAATGATTTAAAACCATATAACCTATATTCTAAGCCTATGCAATGGATTGTACATAATTACATCAATTTGTTCCATATTCTCCAATAAAGTGGTGAATTCCTCCAATACAACCTTCATATACTCCTTTCTTCTAATATCCACCACTATTGGTCTTTTTCAATATTATTCCTTCCACACTTCTATCTACCACTCTATTGTAAATAAATCAATATGTATTATGAACAAATTCAGATATAAGATGATGATTATTAGAATCATCTTCTTAACAACTATCATAGAAAAATTGGCCCTCTTATCTCAATTCTTGTAGACATGCATAGACACTTGTCCACTTCCTTGCTTGATAAAAAATTAAATTATATATATATATATATTAATATAAATAACAAATCAAGTGAACAGTCACTAAAGTTTTGATTTCAAGATTGGTGTACAAATTATATATAGCTCAATTTTAAATTTTAAATTTTTTGTGTTTTTTCAATAAATTATTCTTAAACAAATTTGTGAGATCAGCATGATTTTTTAATTGTCTATTTATAAAAATAAAAATATACTACATGAGAGTTTTGGATTAATACTTATAACACTATTATTAGATAAAAATTATTACAATTAATTAAGAAAAGGAATTTTTGAAAAACTCATTAGAATTTATTTATTTGTTCCTTCTGCAGTAATTGTAGACATATTGCCAAAAAAAAAAAAAAAAAAAAAAAAAAAAAATCCAACGTTCTGGTACCACAAAACTAACACCAACACAAAAAATGTTTTTCTTACATTTAATTAAACTAACTCCAACACCATTTGATATATTCATATGTACTTCCATGCATGATGAAGTCACAAAAATAAATAAAAAATAAATAAAATAATTATAACTGAAAGCATGGAAGCTAAATGTGATTGCATTTTCATGAGAAATCATTACACTACCAAAATCTTCAAAAAAGATAAGATTACATTACGAAATAATTAACAACACTGTACAAAACTCATATAGTTTCCAGCTTTGTGTGCACAAAAAAAATTTAAAAAAATTAAATTGTGTGCAGATCTTTTAAGTATTGCTGCAGTATGTGTATTTAAAAGCAAGTCAATTAACATTAATATACAGAATACAATGAAATCTGAAATCAAGTAACAATCAACACAAGATACACATAGTAAAATTGGTACAAGTTGATGTGATATAATTTCAGATGATACCCAAAAAGAACACTTTTCCTCTATACAAAGAATCTACTCAGTATTGTTGGTACAGAGTAGATTCTATGTATAGAAAACCAATGTTTTCCTCCTCCAACAACTTGCTGTGCACACATGAGTTCTTGCCATACGCCATTCAACATTTAGGAATCCAGGAATGAAATTCAGATACTTTCGAAGAGAAAAAAAAAGGTCTGACTACAATGCATGGCAAGAAGACCCTACGCTGATCCAGGTATGTGACTAAATCCATGATCCACTGCAGAAAGTTGGTAAATTACTGCAATGACATCAATGACCAAAGACAACTTAAGACGCACCAGCTAGGGTCTCATCCTTCGTTTTCACTGATCTTCTTCAAATCCTTCATGTTTGTAGTTTCGACCCTGCACATTAAAGCCATATTTCAAACCAATCAGCTCCCAATCATAACTATTTCCATACTAGTCTTTTGTACACCATTGGAAGAAAATGTTGAGTATGAACTTACGTGCTACCAACAATAGCGAGTTTCTGAAGCTGGGTTACTTCGCCTCCTCCTTGATTGTCCTCAACAAATAGTGTCAAACTGTGAAAACATCGGCAGGGAAGTGTGAGGAAATATGATTATCTACAGAATGGTTGCCACACATCAATACTAGACCCGGCATGTTTTAAAATTTCACGCTAGATCTAAAACGGAAGGGCGAAGGAGTACAGACATCCAGCAACGACGATTCGATTTGGTCTGAAAGCCTTACAAGAAAAGGATGATGCAGGATCAGTTCTACACTCACCTTCGCACACTCTGAAACTTGACGTATTTGAGCGGTATGGGCTTTCCCTGTAGATTTACAAAGCCAGGAACCATCCAGATATCAGGGCTTCAATCGGTTAATATCACACGACCTGCTGAATCTAATTGAACAAAACACATGAAAAAGTAGCTGCAGAATCGAGGGATTGGATACCTCCAGATTCTCCAAAGATGCAATAACTGTGTCATTTGGAGGAAAATCCGTAACGTTGCTGCCAACAGAACATATCTAGTAAGCCACCATGAACTTGAACCTCTTAGACTCTGCAATTAGCATATTTCGTGTTCTGCAAGGCATTCAAAAATCCATCTATTGCACATACTTACGAGCTGTTCGTACCTATCCCATAAATTTCAAGCTGTATCTTAAAGATGACAGGTTTCAGCATTGATGTGGTAAAATAATTCAGGGTCATTTCATAAGTGCGTATCTTACCTGAAACCCATATTTGGTCTATTTGCAAAAAGCTTCAAAGTTCTTGGGCCTAAAACGCCACGCATTACTTAGACAACTCAAACAAAACAAAAACCAGAAATATATGATTGTATAGTTACCCTTCTCTTGAAATGCCGGTTTATAAAGTACTACTAGATTTTAACACGTATTTTTGCTTCAGACCTCGCATCAACTATTATTTTTTCGAGGAGAAGTTTAATTCTCTTGATTTAAACCATTTAAAGTGAAGTCTTAAAAGAAAATTTAGTTCAAAATGATCACTATGACAACCAACAACACCTTAGTGGACCAGAAAATTGTTATAAGACTCTTTCAACCTATTTTAATGTAAGAATATACTACAAGATATACTTGTATACCTTCCTCTGGAGGTCCTCTGATGATCAAGGAATGAAGCTTGACCACTTGGTTGAAGGGGATATAGAGTAGTAGCTGCTCATCAGCGTCACTTTCTAAATACAAACCATTGTCTTCCCTATAACCCTGAATACAAAAAGTCCAATCAACCTTTCTAGACTTTATCTTCTCAAGGTTGCCAACGTTATATGAACGAAACAACTGACCATAATCGTCAAACAAACGCTCCACCACAATCTCATGCAACAACAGCGATCGAGGTAACTTCTAAACGACACTGGTACACGATTCTACACAAAATGCATAGAAAAAGAAGTGCATTCACAATTGATGGATTGTGAATGGAAATCGGCAATTAATTGTGTTCAACAAAAAAAATATTCTAAGAACAGAACAGAGAAGTCTGAAAAGGAGTACAAGGGAAATCCCAACACGATTGATGACATGAAAGTGAAGAAATAGAAATTAATAAATTACGACATCCTAAACATTCTCCTCAAATAGCACGCCTGTAAAATTCGTAAAAACGGGAATTTTAAATTATCAGGTGTTTAAAATATCCAATAACCTGCTTAAGAGCGTTGACGGAGGTATGCAACGAATTTTCGTTCAGACATTCCACAGACTGCCACTCGATGCAGTCCGCCAAATCAACCTGCAAAAATTCGAAGGCCGTGTTACGTTCCGGAAACCAAGATATAGCTGACTTGTACCAAAATATTACTCTCTTGTGGTGGTGGGTCCTCTAGTAAATACCGCATAGACTCAAACAAATCGACCTGGTTACCACGTCATGTATAACATGCATACAAGACTCATGCAAGGTCGATTTTCCATTAACTGCTCCAACAAATTGCAATTGGAAAAATCCATTCCGACCAGTAACGTCACACAATGTTCATGAAGTTATCACCACATCAGATTTCATGGTGATTAACGAGGCAACTACACCAAAACACGAATCCTGAACGAGACTAACTTACAGGTTTAAAGCACCAAGAAAATATGCAGATCTTGCGACTCTAATGAACACAACACAATCATCGAACTCGATAAATTCACGATTGAGAGTTATAAAAACTTACGTGAAAGAAAATTACAACGTTAAGACAGGAATTTCAGCAAAAAAATTATTCACTTATTCTGATAATAAAACCCAACAAGATTTTTATAAGTCCGGTAAAACTAATGTACAAATACAAAAATACGCTTCCCAATCACATCTTGCACTTTTAATTCTTGAAGCCAACATGTAGCGCTCCACCTACGAACATTGAACTCACGAAACCCTAGCAAGAAGAAAAACCCTACTGTGATGGTGTCGCGATCAAGTTGCACCTCAAAACATACTCAGCACCTTGATTGTTCAACCACCAGAACCGAATCTAAATCATCATTTTCCTGGAGATATCAAAGTGCTAAAACAAAATGCTCGCTCTTAAGTTCCAATTAACTTCCACCTGAGAATCTAAACGCTTGCAAATTCACATATTATGCACCAGAGCTCTAATCTTATCGATCTGACCGATTCCAGGATAGAGATACATACCTGGCCTAACGGTAGCTGCACTGGAGCGGCGGTAGTTGCGGGGGTCGCTGTGGTCGCCATGGATCATGCGTCGATTAGCCCACCACCGTCAATCGGAGACAACAAACAAGCCAACAAACAGCAGAAAAACTGAATGAGGGCCACTTCGCAGTAGCGCCCAAACTTTGTTGAGGATGATACCATGGACAAGGCGGGTATCATACACTGAAGCGAAGGTTATAAACTATCCACCATAACATCATGCCTCGGCTTTTCTGAGCACCCAGGATGTATGTACAAAACGATTTTAGACACATCTAGACTCAAAATAGATGAAAGTGGATGAAAGCAGTCTTCCTTTGCTGTTGTGTGTGTAAATATATATTATGTATGTATATACATATTATGTATGTATATATATATATATATATATATATACATGCTTGTGGAAACCTGTGCCATTGGTCACAAAAAAATATTTACTAAAAAATATCTACTAAAAATAATGATTGGGAGCATAGTGATCTTGTAGTGCTACTCAGGGCAATGTGCAGCAAGAGCATGAAGATTTTGATCATTGATTGACCAAAAGTTGAGTTATTGCTTTGCTTTTAATAAAAACAATGAAATATGCAATAATAGAAATGGTTTTTGTCTCCATTGGTTTATCTCATTGGTTTATCTCCCCTAAGTTATTTTATGTAAAATATATATATATATATATATATATATATTTATATGCAAACATTAGAGTCTCTTGTTTTGCTTTGAGAGGTAATATATTGAAGTAAAGGGTACTTAAACAACAAAATTAAAATTAAAATTAAAACATCATGTGTTATTTGCAAAGAGGAAAACATATGCAAAATATCAAGCCAATGAGGTGTGATTCTTGATATCACATTGAATATTGAATCTTTCTATATCTTTCTCAATTATTGATACACTTAAATAAAGTAAGAATTAACTTACAATTTTAGATGAACTCTTAAATGAAGAGATAGATCACACAATTTAGATGGATGCATACATACAAATACAATTATCTTGAATATGTAAGATATATTCAAATTGAGATAAATGTAAATGTTGCAAGATTCTTAATTTTAAAATATAATTTTTAAAATTATATTTAATCAAATTCATATTATTGTATAGAAATCTATTAATAAATAATAATAGTATTATAATAGAAATAGATGAATCAATTATGTAATAATATGAATGTTTCATGTATTTTTCAATATATATATATATATATATATATATAGTCACTTGTGTATTAAAAAGCTCCATTTGTTTTTCTCAAAAGCTTTAATATATCTTTTTAAATCTTTTAAATCTTTTAATCTAAAAAAATTTATACTTTTATTTCTATTTTTAAGATTTCTTCCAAAAATATTAAAGACTAAAAACGATTTTTTTACTTTATTTAATTTCTGAAATCATTGTATTTATCCAAATAAAATATAAGAACATTTATTGTTGAAAGTGATAGTTCAAAATAACTTGATAAAAAATGATGCACTTCTTCCACAAATGTAGCATTCTTTTTTCTTCTAATCAACACTTTTTTCTAATTAACACTTCATATTACTTATTGTGTTTCAATGGTAATAGAGTGTGTTTGTTTGTTTGTATGTATGTATATATATATATATATATATATATTTTAATCTATACTTCAATCACGTTAAGTATAATACTAAAAAATATTATAAATTTAAAGTTGTTACATAAAAATACAAGACTTACTAACCAATGCTTTTCATGATGGCGAAGTTGCAAATAGGTAAAGCAGAATTGAAAATTGGATAGTTGGTTTTTTTAATACGTATGTTCGTTTATTTACTTGGAGGTTCTTGAGATATAATGAGATTGAGTCTGGCAACAACCAGGTCAGCCATAAATATCCAAAAATTGTCTTCGAGTTCGGACGGAATGTCGAAAGTGATTATTGAATAAAAACAATTTGTAAAATATCTAGGCTGAAAAAAATTCCATTAATAAAACTCAAGTTAACCGCACAACCTGATGAGTGACCAAATAAACATTTGCGACGAAAAATTGGACTAGACCTTCCTGATCACAATGGACAAATCCACTACAAACTGAACTCCTCATCAAAATCCTAAAATTAGACAATCAAAGTGAATGAGATCAATCTGAAGCAGGGAAGAGTGAGCGAGTGAGTGGGAATTAGGGTTTAGTAGAACAACCACAACGAGGCTTCTCGTCAAGCCCTCCTCGCTCGAGCTCCCAGCGTCGAAACCATCTCTGCATCGCCCCGTCTGCACCCGCTGTACACGTGCTTCCCTCCGCCTTACCATCATGGTTCGCGCCCTTGCCTCACCATTATTCTCCTTTTTGTCTGTTTCAGTTTTGCTTGTCTCGGGTTGTTTTAACCCACCTAAACCTGCGCAGACACCCCCTCTTTTTGTTTAGTTTGAGGGTGTAGGCCGATTCGCCTTTTCTCGGGTTGTGTGCTGATTTCTTGGGTGTGGTGTAATTCCCGAGTGATCTTTAATTTCCATCGGTCTCGAGGGTAACTCTCGCGTGGAGATCTAATCTGAAGGTGATATTTTAAGCTGAGGTTTGTCGATTCTTGATCGTTTTGTACAATGTTAGGGAACTGCTGTGTTTGTAGTGGTGGTTTAGCTTCTAGGGTGAGAAATAGGTGAACTCATTTGGGTGCTTCTCCTGGTCTTCTTGGTGGACTGTAAAATTGTGTTGCGGAGCTGTCTGTGCACATTTTCGAAGTTTCCATGTATTTTGCGACGGTTTTGATCTTCTGACTCTTTTGACGGCTAGTTTCTTATGTAAATGTATATTTGTATCTGCTATATCAATTTGTTCAGGATTCTGCCGTGAAGCTGGCTATTGTAATGAAGGTGATTGGTCGCACTGGGTCCCGAGGTCAGGTGACCCAAGTTCGTGTTAAGTTTCTGGATGATCAAAATCGACTCATTATGCGCAATGTGAAGGGGCCAGTGCGTGAAGGTACAGAGTCCTGGAACTTTTGTCATGTTCTTCTCTAACCCACCATGGTGTGATCTCCATCATATTGAAGCTTCTTTTATATTCAAGGATCTTTCAGGGGCTGCTCACGTCATGTAATTTTATATGAAATTGTGAATATCCTTCTTCTCTTGATACAGATATCGCATTGCAGAAACTCTCACTCCCACAAGCAATTCAGTGTGTAAGTAAGTTTTTAAGTTCTTGTTCCTTTGTATACAGGTGACATCCTGACTCTCCTGGAGTCTGAGAGAGAGGCTAGGAGGCTGCGGTGAAGAAGCGGGATTTCACAAGTCTCTAGCTTTTTTTTTCCTATTTATCACTTAAAGACTAGACTATGGTTTTACGGAACCATTATTGTATTGATGAGTTATGATTGGTACACAATGACATCAAACAGGAGTTTGAGGCATCAATGCACCAAGCATGCTAATTCTCTCCTGAAGCTTGTCTTTCGCCAGGTGATTAACTGGGTGCAGCACTTTTTATATTTTAACTGATCAAAATTCGTTTCTGCTACCATTTATTGCTTTTGGTTTGGTGTTCATCATTCCTCAAATTATTTGAGATAGTGTACTCCTTGCCTTTTTGTCACTGTGGTTGGTCTCTGGTCACTTTGTAGGCATTGTAATTGACCTTTAGTGTAAGTTTTGGAGGTGAAGTCGCCCATATCCAGCTCTAAAATGCTCTCCACGATGTCACGAGTAGTGCTCAATCTCTTATAGTAATACTCAATCTCATATTAGATATTTTTCCAAAATTGAGACATTCTCTCGCTCTGAAGATGTGGTAGTGACGGGAAAAGGTCCCGTACCTTACGCTAGTTGTGGGAAAAAGGCATTTCAAAAGGCTCATTACATGCTTCAAGTGTCTCACATGCTGTTCTTTGAGCGACATCTCGGGCACTTAAAGGCTTTTGGAAATCTTATTAGGTTGACACTCATGCAATTGAAAGGTAGCAAATGGTGATGAAGAACTGATCGAGTCAAGTACGTCTAATTATTGTAATTAAAATGTGGGGAATTCAAAAACATCGATTCAATACATTCATAAAAGTCAGGTGGAGGGTATGAGAGATCATCTTTCAGATATTTTACATGGAGCCTCGCAGAAGACCCACTGTTTCTCTACACAACAGTATCCAACTCTTAAACTTGTGAACATCAGCGAAATTCCTCCAGGATCGCTGTTCCAAAAGCTAAATATTTCTTGTTCCTCGCTTCAATTTGAACTCTAACATATTGCAGATACTACTAAAAGCTTAAACCTTCACCTCGTCAAGTGATCCTATCCCTCGAATGATGTCTCTAAACATATTTTGATACAAAATACACTGGTCCAAATCCAGATGCTTGGATATCCTTCAACATCAACCCAAGATGTTGGCTCGTTCCACTAGGAAATCACTCTGAATCTACCTACATAACATGGTCGGAGAACATCTGAGAAACGTAAGCTCCTATCAAAGCCCAAAAACCCCTCTTACTATACACACCGCATAAATGGAGGGGGCAACCAAGATTTTAAGACCAAAAAAAGAAGTCAAAGCCGACGAAGGAATCTATCTATGCATTTGACCTTAGGTCACTAATTTCGCTTTGCGGAGTACCAGGTAAGCTCTGCTGACCCCCATTCACCATCGGCTGGTTGAGGGAATTATGCGACTGCGAGTGCACCAGACCTGTTGGTTGGGAGGTAAGTTGCTTCGAAATTGTTGGGAATGATTTTGAATGCGACAGCTGATTGAAGACAGGTGAAGCGGTGTGGCTTCCGCTCAGCCCAGAAGACGGAACTTGGCTTATTGTTGAGTGCCCCTGGAGTTGAGAGAGTTCTTGCGCATGGTTAAGTTGCACATTTGCTTGATTTCCAGGAAAAGACTGAGCACTACCAACAGCACAACCCGGGTGAGCAGCCTGACCTTGTTGAGTAAGACCCTGCGATACCATATTAGTCTGTAATTGACCAGGCAACCCATTGCAGGGAATAAGATTTCCGAAGTGAGTCTGCGTAATCCCAGGCAAGGGCAGGGGTCCGGGTGGCTGCATCTGATTATTATACGCTTGTCCTGCCTGTACCAAGCCAAAGTTCCGAGCATCCATTTGACCCCGAAGCTGTGACTGTATGTTGTTTGAAGTCTGTGCCATTTTTGATGTATTTGGGTATCTCTGACCTTGAGCAGGACCAGGTTGGAGCTGACTGAGGAGGTGACCTTGTAAATGAGAAACTCCTTGTTGTCCATTTCCTATTGTTACCTGCCCACCAAAATGTATGTTTACTTGCCCCTGTTGTTGCAAGTAAGACTGCCAAGGGGTGCCTTGAGTGAAATGATTTATTAGGGTCGTCAGTGAGGGTTGATTAGGATGATTTGTAAGCAAACCTTGTTGCTGCAATTTCCGAGCACTTGGAAACTCTACTAGGCTCTCTGTTGCATGAAAGAAACGAGTTAATAACTACATTTAAGAGACCACAACTTCAGTGAAGAATCAAATATACTACAATAAATAAAGCCACACGAAAAGAACAAAACATGATGGTAAAGAATCATACGTATAGGTCCAAGGCCAGACTTCTTCTCGTATGAAATCAAGTCTTTCATGCTGTTAACAACCTCAGAAATCTGCAACGAGAAAGTTGTGTTACTCATTGTACATAAAAGGAACGGCTAAATATTCAGTGACAATCTCCTACAACAGTAAAAATCAAAATGCAACCCATTCAATCATACTGAGAATATGTCATAAGCCACTAGTGTAATCATTGATGTAAGCTTTTTCTGCATTAAAAAAATGAATCTGCTGACGGAACCTGTAAGCATCGAACATATCGTTTTGAGAAGCCAAGATCATTAACAATGGGTGCGTCCAGCTTTACAGCCAGTTGCCTTGCTGTGGTCATGAACCTGAATCATAGACGGTTATAGATCACTTAAATCTTCGCACAAGCACTTGGTTATGTCATTGAACTTTAGAATCGAGACTAACGAACGAACAGCGTTCATCATAACTGAGTTACTGGACACAGAGAAGTACACGAGGTAACTTGGATAACATATATAATTTTCTGCAACCTTCGTAGTTGTAGTTAGATGTGTATTAACGTTCTTATTGGTTTTAGTTGTCAAAAGATGCAGAATGAATATCAAAAATAAACACACCAACCATTAAATTCTCTCCAGGATAAATAAGACAGAAGGTACATACGCATTGCAGTGTTTAGTCAAATTTTCCACGCTTTTGTTGAAGTCTTCTTGTTCAGCCTCCATTACCAGGTTGTCTAGCTGCTGGGCCTGCTTAAACAGAACCATAAGTATGAAGAACAAGCAAATTCCGAAAGACCTAATAAGAAATATAGAATAGCCTATGTATAACTCCACTGGGCATGATTGAGCAAAAAGAACCACTTATCGTAAGATGATTGAGAGAGAATTTTAACGACACTCCACCTGCTCTTGAAGATTCTTGTACGGCACTAATTCTTCATGACTTTTTGTGCAAAACTCCCAAGCTTGGATCTGGTGTCAGTACAAAAGTATTATCACGTCAGAACCATATCCCTTGCCAAGCACTGATACAAAACATTTGATCAACTCACAATGAACACCCAATAATCATGATCAGCCCCAGATCTGTGCATTATAAAGGGCAAAAGTTATTCTACTTGATAAGCTGACAATGAATTTAAAGAAAGTACTTTGTATGAAGGACTAAACGTCACTCGAAGCGTTCCATATCTGATCACCTGCAAGGCAACGTCATAAAATGAATAAATATTACCATTCCTGTTACACAAACGCATCCGATCCCCAAAAATCATCTCCAGAACTAACTTAGAAGAAAAAGCTATCTTCATAACGTTTTCATACGAAAAGACTTAGTTTGGTATTAATCGATCATGACAGAATACATACATGAAAATGAGAATATCGTTCTACAAGTTTAAACAAACTTTTAAAGTAAGGTTGCCTTGAATGCATGTCGAGGAACAGAAAAGAAACACTGTAAAAATTAATAATGAAATCCATTTCACACAATTCATACCCTCAATTCAGCAAATATTGATTCGTGCACTGCGCCGAAGTACACCAGAACCATTTTTCCAGAGGGTAAAACATATCTGTCCACCAAAACATAGTCATAAATGAGCAATAGAAAATTATGGCAATTTTAGAGCGGATACAAGGCAAAAGAGTCGACCACAAAAATAATTAATCCTCAAAAAAATCGAACTCGTCTAAAACACAGGCTAAGGCGAAGCCTTGATTCCAAGACGAGTGTAGTTGTACATAAATACAAGTATTTAATCAGTAAACACTATGATTATAGAAACATGTATCAAGTTGATCAATTACCAAATTTTCATTATAAAGTTGCTGTTCAAAAGCTTGTTTTAGTTCCTTAGTACGACCTGAATTAGAATGAGAAGTGGAATTTTCGACAAAAAAAGACCAACATTATCAAATCCGAACAGATAGGCAGGCAGAACTAAACATACTCTTCAGCCAGATCAAGAAATAGAAGCTCGTCCAGCAGACCACTGTCATATTTAATTTTGAATAGCCGAGGCAGAACATCTGTGCAAGATTCTGCTCACACCAAAAACCCAATCTTTCAGCTCCTCACATATGACTAATTTATTCCAATCCACTCTACAGTAGAATACAATTGAACCCTGCAAAAACTTGCTGCAATAAAACCAAATGAATCTAAAAATTACTCACCGAAACCTCGTCCTGGTTGCACCCCACATAGATTACAGAACCAAAACTCCTGCACAATATCCACAAGTATGGTGAGACAACGTAAAAATGCGGTTGAGAGGCAGAGAATAAGTAAATAAAACGAGTATTACTACCTCAACCTGGCTGATGTTAGCAAGCGGATACTAGTTCAAACAACAGTAATGAATCATTAACTCAACCTTGGTTACACTAGAAATGTGACGATAATTACTATGAAAACAACCACGATGGACATGAAACCCATACAATAAATAAATGAATAAAATATCTTCGTCAGTGGTCGGGGTGATAATCGGTACCATGGGGAAAAGACCCTGGGCATGCCGACCGACAGGAGAAGTATTGAAACTGCTTAAGCACCAGCGCTTTAAAGCTCCAGGTTCAAAAAAGGTGTGTACAAGTCCTCGCCAAAACGTGATATTGTTATCCTGCACGATGACAAGTTTCAGACGGAGAACGCTTGTGTAGAACGTTGCACCGTTTTTCGCATACTGTAAAGAATGAACATAATGCAAGGAAAATTTACATAAAAGAAATGACACCAAGCACAATGTATTTCTACACATCAAACCGACAAAGAAAAGAAAGGAAAAACAATATTGAAGTAAACCATATTAATATCACCCTAACTTACAGGGGGACGTTTTCTTTGCTCTTGAATGTACGACACGATTGTATGATTACATTCTGAAACAATGGCTGGTGGCATACGACTTCTGTATCCATTGCCCATGTTCTCGCATTTTAATCCTGAACCTTGAATTAGGTGCGGGTTGCTAAGTTTAAGCCCCTGTAACAACTGATTCTGCATTCCAGGCTGCATACGAGTGATCATTTGTTGTCCAGCTCCAGTTAATGGCAAACCACTTGCCACCTACTACAACGAAAAAAAGGTACTGAAAAAAAAAAAGACGATTTTTTTTGATATTGGTGAAAATACATGTGTCTAAAATTACAAGTGAGCCATAATCCTGAGGAACAAAGCTGAATGTAAGAAACAATTTATCCTCATAAAGATAAATAATTAACTATGAAACCTATCAATACGGTCACAATTCTGTACACAGAAGTGAGGAAGCATAAAGCAGAGATATTCAAGGAATGACAGCTGATAAACACCTTGGTTCTTTCGCATACTTATTAAGGACCCCCACTTTATACAAATAGAACATCAAAGCCATGGCTTGCAAAATCAGAAATTGCTCACTTGAAATGCTTGTGTTTGGCCTGACTGAAACCGCTGTTGCTGCAATAAGAGCTGCTGCTGAGAACCAACCCCTTGTGCGTGTCGAGCTTGAATAATAGCAGCTTGATTAGCTACTGCGTGTTGCAGAGCCGCTTGCTGGTTTGCTGCTTGCGCCTGTGCGTGCGCCTGTGACATTTCTTGAGCCTGGACCTGAGCCTGAGCTTGTGCTTGAACTTGAACTTGAACTTGAGCCTGAGCTTGAGCTTGTGCTTGAGCATGCGCATGAGCCTGAGGTTGAGCTTGAGCCTGGGCCTGAACATGAGCTTGAACGTGCTGTGCACATGTAGTGTTTTTCTGATCTCAATTATAGCCATACCGTGTCCAGGACACCATAATACACACGCATAGTAAACAATGCATACGATAAAAAAAAACAGACTATAAACCTCTGGAATTGCAACAAGGTGTTAGAAAAAGACATGATACGAAAACCAGACCAGAAATGCGTAATCAGGTTAAGGGTCCCGAAACTTTAAAAGTCAGTTGTAGCAACGTTCTAAGCATTTCGACCTAAAAAACATCAATTTCAACATAATTGCTGCGACTAAGTTCCAGCAGAACATTATTAAATAAATCGGGAGAGTGTAAACCTGAGCTTGATAGGGTGACAGTGGATTCGATGATGTGATTTGCAGAAGAGACTGTTGAGAAGGAGAACGCTGAAAATGAGCCAAATGATTCGCATTACTCTGTCCTGCAAAACTAGATTGTTGTGGTACTCCACCTAGAGATTGCAGACTACCTTGGAAGTTTCCTCCTTGTATCAACCCCAAGCTGCGAAGAGATTGAAGAGACTGCTGGCTTTGGAAATTATTCTGCTGCGTAAATTTTTGACTTCCTAAAAAATTTGTATGTGCGCGACTCTGCCCTTGCTGCCCACGATTTTGAGTAGATTGTAGTCCACAAGCTTGTCCTGTTCCACAGAATTGCATAACAAGACCGTTAACACCTGAAAGGATACATGTTCAATCAACATCTGCCAAAAATTGACAGTCTGATTGCAAGACGGTGTACCGTTGCTGTAGGCAGACTGAGGACTGCTGATCTCTCCAGCCTGGAAGTTTCCCGACTGCATCAACCCAACCAGTTGATGAGCAGCACTACGATTAACTTTGGTATCTCCTTCAAGCCCAGAGTGATTACTGTTTGTTGAATCCCCATCAAAAACTGATAATTGATTAGAGGATATCGGCCCATGAAAACTTCCTTCTTGATAGGCCGAGTCTCGAGAGGACCTTAACACAGCTTCTTGGGTCAATGAGTCCTGTGTATACTCTGCTTTCACTCCCTCCATGCCAAACTCGGTCTTCACACGCTTCATGTCAGGATATTCAGACTTCATCGCAGTGATATCCACAGCATGCTGAGGACTACGTATTGGCACCTGAGATGATTTTGGGGTGATACATTGAACTACCTCATTTGAATACGACTGCAACGTGTCTCGGTTTCCCCCTGGAAAACCTCCAGAAAGTTTACTCGTACTCATCACTGCTTGGTATTGGTTGTTGCTGGTTGCCTGCAAGACTTGTGGATTAGCTGCCACCCTTCCCTCGTAAACAAACTGTGGTTGCTTGGTCTGGTTTGCTGTCTGCCCAGGAGGGCCTTGACCTTGTAAATATTGCAGGACTTGTCCCTGTTGAGTATTTGGTGTTCCAGGTCCCGCGATCGTTGTGCCTGACCACTCATCTGCTGGAACTAAGCCACCATTGATCATCGGCTTTGGTGGTAAAGACTGTGACTGTGAAGGGGAAATGAGAGTGGCTGAACCCACATTCCGGCCAAACGAGTTCTGAGAATCTGAATCAAAAAAAGCGGATGTAAATTCGGAAGTGATGTTTGAAGAGAAGGAAGGGTATAAAGTGCTCAAATCTATTGAAGGTGATGGACTAGCGTGGGAGTGCGGAGAAAGAACATTCTCGCTAATATTAGTCACCTGCGAACCATACTGCTGTGGATGATGTGGAGAAAGAGAGACACCCACATGTTGTCCACGCATGTTCATAGCTGATGGCCCATTGTGCTTGGCCATTGTTCTCTACCAAGATCCAATAATTACGATATTGAACCTACTTCCTAACATCTGAACTTAAGAGTTTGAACTTAACTAAAAAGAATTTCAAGAAAATATTCTGTTCTAGTCTTTCCATTAGACTGGAATCAGCACACTTTCCGTGGGTCTCGGCGTGTAGATCAGATGAGTCAAATTCATGTTCCGCACCTAACCTATTAGAAAAGTTTTAAACTTCACTACTTAGCGCCCTTATCAATCAAATTTGGTTAGAACAGTGAGTTCCACCACATAATCTCCACCTAAAAAAGCTCCCTTGACAAACAAACGGAGCTGAAGGCATCAATTCCGAGACTGACAATCTCTGAAAGCCGTCCTCCTGTTGGCCCCACAGTGTCGATTTCTTCATCTCTACCCCTACTGATTTATTGTGTATAAAAGTAATCCAACGATCCCTCCATTCCAACCTGCAAGTACCAAGGCCTTGACACTCATATGGCCAAAATAAACCATTCACGATTATCTCGAGAAATTCCCAATAACTTGCTAGACTACCCAGAGCCACATCTGGAACTGCTGGAGCCAGGTTGTATACACGTTCAAGAGACGCTGCACGGCTCCAAAAATAAAATGCATATAACGCCTAAATTCGTTTTAATGTGTCTCAATACAACGTCTAAGTGCTTCTACAATCCACAATGCATAAGCATCACAAATGCACGTCTCCATATTTCCATAAGATGGTGTTAACCCTTTTGCTGCAAACCTGCAACACAAACATTTGACCAGTATAAGGTCAGTTTAGGACATGAGCGACGCCCAACCCTCAACAAAAGAAAGCCGAAGTGGTCACAAAGACATTGCAGTTGCCACTTCATCGGACGAATTCGCTCTAGATGTAGTGTGTGCTTCCACTATCAATGGGTTCATATCATCAAACCGACTGTAATAGACATAAAACAAAAAAGAAGAGAAGAACCCGACTCCAATACACGGGTCTAGACCAAGCCTCAATAATATCAAATTCGAACCCGATAGAAAGTGGTTTGCAACCGAAAAAAGCGCGAAAGAAGAGAAGATACGGATCACACTATTCAACCAAAAGAAATGATGAACACTGGTGAAGTAAGTCATGATTAAGACTTCCGAAAAAATCTTACACCAAATGCGTTCAATAAGACGCACCAGCGCGGAGAAATAATCTAAATACAAAAACATGTCCGTGTAATAAGCCCCCCTAGCTCAACCGGTCCATCACAACAAGGAAAGAAAGAAGAAGCTTACTGCCGTCTACTGCCTGCTCTACGCTCATAATTTAATTATTTTGGCCATCCGTTGCAAGCGAGCACACAAACATCTTCGCTCCTTGTTCTTATACACAACTCACTGATACCACAATGAACTTGTAATAGGTAGCTGCGCACTTCCCTGCTCCAAGTTTCAGACCCGGGTTTCTTCTGCATTAGAAGAAACCTCACTGCTTCGCTAAACTCAACATACAAACTTTGATGATCTAATTATTTAAAATAGTAACCAGCAAAGGTTATCCTCTTGCTTAAACGCCCCTTCAAAAGGTATTCTACACACCATCTTGAAACCGGTAATCGTAGAGCGCTGAGGGAACTGAGACCTAAGCCCACAAAATAAGCAGAACTCCGCTCTGTATCTATCAATCTCAACACTAGAACCTTCCTGGTAAACTCTAGCTGCACTTGCCCCACCTCTTGCAATCATTCCTGATCATAACGGAAAAAAAAAAAAAAAAAAAAAAAAAAAAAAACTCAATAGCTGAGACCTGTCGCACTGACCAATTGAACGACCCCGCTTTTACACCGAGTCAAACAACACCCAGCAAACGAACCTTGGACCTAGAATCACATGGTGCATACTCTTTCTAAACCTTGCTGCCTAAGTTTAATGTCGAGTCCTCCTTTACATTAAAACACCTTGACATCGCTAAGCCTCGCTAAACTGAAACTAGGCGTCATTCACCCACGCTCGCCCAGCATTACTTGCTCCCTCCACAGGCTGAGCTCTGAACCTTACCAAAGTCCAGCGCAAAGTGCTCCTGTGCCTGTGAGGTCCTTCAGGGTGAGTCTCCGGGCCTGCACGGGTGCTAAGGAAATTTTTCCCACGAGATCACGCTGCACTTTCGCACGCAAGGATTGTAAGACATCCAACCCTGAGCTCGGATCGTCGAAACAGAGACGTGAGGATGTGAAGCACACCTAGCCAAACATCAAACTTGGAACCACAGAACTTCCATAAATTCTGGTGAACTTAGGGTTGGTACGGGAGGCAACTCAAAACCACAAAGATACCAGAAAAACATCACACCTACAACTCAAGTATGTCTATCAACTGAGCTAATTCGCTCCTGTGTCCCTTCAAGCAAAAAGAGATGAGAATTGGCAGTACATTGCATCGCCAGATACAGGAACGAAGGCACCACGCCACCCCGGTACACCAAACGTCCATGGATTTGCGACCCGAAGCAGAATGCCAATCGGAGCCTCAAGAGAAAGCATCAAACGTGACTAGGCTAGTGCATCAGAAATTGTGCGAAGGATTTCGTTGGCATCGCGATGTGAAGACGAAGACGCGAGTGAGTCCGAATGCGTACTGACAGAGGCAGCAAGAGGCGTGGGACCAACGTCGATCGCCATAGCCGTGTTCTCAAAGGGTTCCCTCCTTCAGTGATCTCCCCGCCCTCCCCCTCTTCACCAAGAGGGGAGGGGCGGTGGCGGGGGCGGGGGTGTGGGAGCTTCATCCGGCTGCCGACGCTTCCTCGGGCAGCCCGCGCCTGAAGCGGTACACCCTCCGTTTCGCAGGGTGCAGACTGTGACTTCGTCATTCGACAAACTGACACAACTGCGCCTCCACATCATCTCGCACAGCTCCGAACTGGTGCACAGTATTCGTAACACAAGGATGGTGGAACAAATCAGAAATAAATGAATTCTCTTCCTCATCCCCCCAACCCTCCGACATGGACTCGATTTTTCATCCATTCCTCCCCTGACCGAAGCATGACAACTCTCACACAGGTCAATTTTGAAGCTGACATTTAGATTTGGATGATCGCGTTCATCAACAACTTCAGATCGTACTTTACTACATCGATCATCTATTGGGGCTAATTTGGGATGCAAGAGAATCGGGGTTTGCTTTTTGTAATCATCATTACTATTTATAGAGTTATCATTAAAAATATCTAGGTTACTTGTTGAGTTTTCTCCCGGCATTTCAGAAAAAACTAAAAAAAACTAGTGTGCTTACAGTATCTCATTTCAAGGAGTTTAAAATTGCTTCATTCTCATTTTAGTTTTTATGAAAAGAAGAAAAAAAAAAAAAGCGTTAATGACTGTGTTATCGCAGCTTCATTTTTCATTGCACCATATTTGAAACTGAGGAACAGAGAGGTTATTACTCACGACATCACTAACACGAATCTACTGGAGAGGAAACCATCGTCGTTGAGAATTCAAACTCAATGTAATTGAAACATGTCACTTTGTTGTAGTGTGTGAATGAAATGGCATTGACTTGAAGAAAAGGATGATTCGCATCCAAGTGTACCACAAAGATACACGTGATGGGACCCAGTAGCCAGCATATTAATAAGATAGAAAACGAAACAATAAGAGCTTTCTATTTATAATACATTAAAGAACAAATATCCTGTCCAAGCTTATCGGGTGTCCTGAACAGGGCCCTGCTAGGTAGGATGAGGACCCATCCAGGGGTCCTTTAATTTGGGCCAATGGGGTACTAAGTGAGGGCGCCAGGTGGATTGCTAGAGGAGATGAAGCCATCCATGACCCAATCATTGTTCCACGCATGGCATGGCAGGGACTGCGGAGGAATCTGGACGGGGGGAACTTTGGGAACGCCGCCATCGCCAGCGAGACATATCCAGATCCTTCGAGCGCGTTCACACTCGCTCACCACACTCTCTTGCGTGCTCTCTCACCCGGATCCTATCCCCGTTCTCTCTCTCTCTCACACCTTGTGCACAGCCAAGTTTGTTTTACTAACATTTGTATTCCATACCTCTTTCCCAAAGCTCACCAGATTCATCAGGACTCCTTCGATTTGGAATTCCTTTACAGCCAAGTTTGTTTTACTAACATTTGTATTCCATACCTCTTTCTCCAAAGCTCACCAGATTCATCAAGACTCCTTCGATTTGGAATTCCTTTAGCGTGTATTCTATTCTCTTCTTCATCCCTTTTTTTGGTTTTGGTTTTGTTTTGTTTTTTTATTTTTTATTTGTAAAAAACTTATTTTTTAATTGTATATATATTTTTATTTCTATATATAGCTTTTAAGATATATACACATGTTAATACACATTATATAAATTTTAAGATGAATACATGTTTTTATTCTACTATGTAAACTTTGAGATATTAAAGTATATAGTATCTTTGTGAATAGTCATTAGTCCTATTATATTATAGGACAAATATCACACATGCCTCTTAAGCTTCTAAAAAAATCATGAATTTCCTTCAAGTTTTACTAATATCAAGAATATCCCTCAACTTTGTGATGATTAAAAATTTGTCCTTTGGACTAATAACTTATCTTTTTTTATTTTTTTTAGTTTAAATTAAGGCCTAGAACCTTTGATTTTTCATAGTATCTAAATCTTGCAAATCCCGTGCTCCAATCTCTATTTAGCCATCTGTTGCTTAGCTCATGTACATCTCCTTTCTTACACCTTCTTTTGCACACTCATCTTCCATCATTGAATCAATATAACACTCACATATTTTTGTTGAATTAGAACAAAATTCATACATAGTTGTTGAATTAGCATAACTTTCACACTTACATGTCCTTGTTGAATCAGCATTATCATATTGTGGTTTATCTACCATGTAAAAATATTGTCTTTATATGTTTGATATATAATTTACTAAGTAATATGGTAAGAGCCATGGTTGGAGAGAGCACCTTTTCAGCTATATTTTATGCAAATTGCATAATGAATTTTAAGTTAGATTGAAGGATATATTTGAGGTTAAAGTGAGCACTTGTAATCTAAGGGCAGTAAGTCATCCGATTTACTAGTGGTTTTGTTTTGAGTTATAGCTTGAGAAATTTCACAAGATTTTAGCTATTTTTTTTTAAAAAAATATGTATAATCATGTTAATAAATTTTATACACAAATTTTGTAGTATTTGAGTTTTGGATTTTTGAGATATGAAGAAAATAGTATTTGAATGCTTGTAAATTAGGATTTAGAGCACTTATTAAGATTTTGAAGATGCCAAAAGTTTGGTAGCAAATTTATATATATTTTTTTGTAATAAAGCTTAAAGATAATAGCTATGTTGTGTAAAAATTTGAGAAAAACTAAACAATTGGATCAAGCGATATAAGATTATAAAGTTCAGAGAGAAAAAATCCTCTGGGAGAAAAATAAAAAAATAAAAAATAAATATTTTAAAAGGATTTTACCATATTTTGAACTTTCGTATAAAATAAAAGAGGTTTTGGGAGCCAATACTTTATATATAAGTTAAGGGTGGAATAAATCACTTATTGGAGCTTAGCCAATAAGTTAAAATTAAAGTCTTTATAGCTACATATCTCGTGTATTTTCAAATTACAAATCATGCCATATGATAGTATAATATTCATACTCACATACACTTATTGAATCAAAATAAGAAGTTCATCATGGTTATTAAAATAATTCCTTGATGTTATTTTTATTACCAATTTAAGTCACCAATCACTAGTTGGTTGCTAATTAGAGCTTGTAAGATGGTTGGAAAATCTCAGAGTTTTTATTGGATTGTTGTCATTATCTAGTTGAAAGAAGGTCAATCAAATTTTGAATTGAAGGCTTTACATTTTGATGTGATTATTAGATAAATTTAATTATTTAAAAGATTATATCCTTGAATAAATTCTTCTTTTGGTCAATTTTTTAAAAAAAAATCTCAGTCAAGGATTAAGAATGAAGTAGGTGTCAATCATTTGGGCATGTGTCATAGACATGTTCACTCCTATAGTTATTTAGATAATATAAATAAAAAGAAGTAGAAAAAAGTAAATTAAGTTGATAATATTAAATAGAAAAGCTTTCTAGAAGCTTCATAGATACATTTTGACCTTTATAAATGTTTAAAAGTGATTGATAGATTGAAAACATGGCCCAATAAGTTAGCCATATGTTGCATGTAGCACACTTATAGAAAACTTGTCTTGTAAGTTATACATGTATCTTGCAAATTCAATACATATTAGAGATCTTATAAAATAATGTCATATAGTTTTTAGATAGATAATATATATATATAAAAATAAGAGTGAAGTTTTTTTTGTTCTTATCAATTATTTTATTGCTTCCAATCTAATTTCAAGAGTCTTTATGAAATAAGATTAGACTATTTCAAAAATTCAAGATCCTTCTAATCCACAGCAATATAAAGTCTCATCACAAAATAAGAAAAAATAAACCAGAACAAAGTTGAATGGAACTAAACAAAATAAGACATGAAAGAAAAAACTGAGAAAATAGAAATAAAATAAAATAAAAAGATGCAAAATCAAATTTTACTAAGAGAAAGGGTCCAAAGCCATACTTGACTAGATGTCTGTTCCAAAAGCCTTGGCGAGTCCTATTTATACCTTATCCTACTACCTTAGATTTTTAAAAATATTTCTAGATAGTAGGCCCCACCTAAATAATTATCTTAAATTCTTTTTCTAGAAGATTCCATGGTAAGCCTCATGCAAGTTAAGATACTTGTTATGTAAAGTCAACACATTTTTGGAGGTCCTATAGAATGTCTCTATATAGATCCTAGGTAGATAGTATATATAGAGGCAAGAATAAAGCCTTCTTCACTCTTGTCAACTCTTTTCTTGCTTCTATTCTAATTTCAAGAGTGTCTAATTTCTTTGTCTTTTGGTAATAGCTATTATATATACTTTTTTAATGTACATATTTCTCTATTTCTATTGTATCATATTTCTTTGAAAGAATCTCACTTAGTTTTTTGCTTTTATTAAATTCTTCTCTTTAACAAATTTATAAGAGTACACTTATAATATCAAAGTTTTGACTTTTCTTGATTAAGTATGGATTATCCTTTTTTCTTAATAAGACTTAACTGTATTAGAAGTTATAGATTACCTTCTTTTAAACTAATACTATCATTAATTTTTTTTCTTTGTTTTCAAATCTTTTCTTCTATTTGTCTTTAGCAACATTAGACATCTTCTCTTCTTTAAGTGTTATTATGGTAGAGCTACTTGAAATGAAGAGTGCAATGATATAAATGCAAAAAAAATTAAAGTAATTAATGTTTACAATGCATCAATTCAATTTATCGCCACAAGAACTAACAAGAATAGCAGGGAGCAAAGATATAGAGATGATTAGAATTAATTCAATATTTGCACCATATATATATATATATATATTTTTTGGTAGAAAATCCTTCTAATATTAAAGAACTAAGGACTGCATTGCCTAAGTAGTTTGATAGTACAAGTTCTAAGTTTTGAGAATTTATCAATCAAGTACAATTAGTGATTGAACTTCAATTCCAAAGCTATCTGACTGGAAGATTACAAATTAGATTCATTAGTACACTCCTTTTAGGTCCAATATTATTATGGTTTTCATTTTTTTTGATTGAGAAGATCCAATATTGGATAATCTAAAGGCTTTTTTGATGGGTTTTCAATTCTTGTATAGAAAACCTAATGCAATTTGTATTACA